CTACATATGTGCTTTGAAATACAATGCGAAAATTTGACATTTTTGGCGATTCGACATTTTTAACTTTTGGGACATGGTCACGAGGTCTTCGTATTTATATCATGTAAAGGTATGTTAATACGTTTTTTAAAATCGAAAACCCGTTTTATGAAAATTTTCAGAAAATTAAAAAAAAGCTTTTGAAAGACTTTTGTTGGATTTATATGCCATTATGTTGAACATAGCATAACATTAGCAATAAGTAAAGAATAAAGATCTCATACTCGTGTTATAAAAAATTTCTAAAATTATTTTCTAAGTAAAAAACGATTTCATTTTCAAATTTTTCTAAGGTCACTTAACGAGCTCTCTCTTATTTTTAAATTAGACATCAATATCAGAAATTAGAACTTCAAATAATTGATTCATTCCAAAGTTATCGGACAGACGGACGGACGGACAAATCGATCGCAATAAGTAGCTTCATCTCCTTACCGCTACCTACTTACTTAATAAACAAAGAGATCAAAACTTGTGAGGACGGAAACTGATCCACGAAAACAAACTTTGCTTGTCAATGGAGGATGGAAGAGCAGAACGCGTCGCCAGAAGGTGATACCTACGACAGATTTTGATGTCTGATTCATTTCCGCTTTACTGAGGATGAGTTTGTCACCGTTTGCAAGCATTTTTACACGTTTTTTTCTGTAATCTGTACTTGTTTGTAGTTCGACTGATCTGGGTTAATGCATCATTAGCAGTGAGATGGCATACGATTTGCATATATTAAGTAGTAGCAGATGTGACAGTTATTTGCGTATTCAGTAGCTTTAAGAGATTCGCATGCATATGTATAAAACGGGTTTTTACGAAAAAATCGAAAACCTAATTTTTAAAAGTTTTACAAAATCGAAACCCGTTTTTATATAAAAACGTGCCCTTTTCTAAGCATTATGGGAATTGTCCCCAATGAAAAATAGGATCAGAATTAATTAATTTCACAGATTTGTGGATACGATTTTTCTACAAAAAAATCGAAAACACGTTTTATGAAAATTTGTCCTAATTAAAAATCGTTTTTTCTTGCATACATTTTTTTTGCCAGTGAAAAAAAAATTCCATGTGTATATAGCAAACCTAAGAGAAAGTTTTGTTTGGGTGTAAATAAATGCGTAATGTTATCAGATTAAAAATGCGTGAAGAGGGTAAAAATTGGTAAAACTGTAATAAGAAAAAAATTCAGATTATTCACGACGAATTAATTGTAACACAAAATTGGATTCAACAATAGATTTTAAAATTTGGTAAATTTTTACGTCATTGTGAAATGTCGAACATGTTAATAATCTTCGTTAGTATACAGATACCTATCTCTGCTCATTACCGCTGTATTAAGATGAACTTCGATGAGTCATTCCCGCGTGTCTTATTCCGCCCCATATGTCATGTTTCCTTATGGAGAACTTGAAATTAACTTTCCGGTGTTAATATTCAATGAAATTTAAATGTTATTACTTTAAAATATTCTATATTTTTAACTTAACAAAATTGTAGCTTAGAGTTTAGGAAAAAAATTCCCTTCCTGTGAGGGGCAATAAACTATTGAGGAAGGAATATGTTTCCCAAAAATCTAAGCTACAATTTTGTTAAGTTAAAAATATAGAATATTTTAAAGTAATAACATTTGAATTTCATTGAATATTAATTTCAAGTTCTCCATAAGGAAACATGACATATGGGGCGGAATAAGACACGCGGGAATGACTCATCGAAGCTCACCTTAAACAATTCTTTAACTTTTTTCGAAATACAAAAGATTTCATTTTAAAAATTTGGTTTTATTTGCAATTTTTTGGTGAAGTTGGAAAATATTAAACATGTCATCCATATTTTTAATTAGCATAGATATTTCATTTTGTATTTGGTATTATGAAATAATTTCTAAAATAATTTTCGACATAAAAAAGTTTTCGGGAGGATTTTATTTTCAAAATTTTGTAAATTTGTGATGTATTTATAAAATGTTTGTACCACATTGTCGATTTTATTAGAACGTAGATTCCTGTTTCTTATACATTTCGCGTTATAACTCAATTGTTAAAAATGTTTTTCTAATTAAAAATTTGCAAACTTTAGAAAAAAAATTGGAAATAAAATCTACTTCCAAACTTCTACTTCTATTTCGGAAATCTACTTTGAAAGTAGATTTTATTTCCAAAATTTTTTAAATTTTTGTTGGAACCGTTATAAAAGTTGAATATCATCCATCCTATAAGTAAATATGGATTCCTCTTCATTAATATTTGCATATTATAAAAAAAATTCTAAAATTATTCTCGAAATAAAAAGCAACTTTGCAAGTAGATTTTATTTTCGAAATTTTCCAAATGTTTGTTGGATTATTCGCAATTATAAAATGTTGAAGATATCGTCGATATTTTTATTAAGTATATACTAAAATTTTAATAAAAGTTTCAAATGTCTTGCTCGTTTCTTCGTCGTTATAACACAATTTCTAAAATTAGTTTTCAAATTAATAGACAAAGTTTGAAAGTACAATTTATTTTCGTACTTTTGTAAACTTTTGTTGCCATTACAAAATATTAAATATATCTTCCATATTTATAATAATTAAAGGTATCATCTTTTTCTACTTCAATGTGACAAAACAGTCTCTAAAATTAATGTTTCGAAACAAAAAAATAACGCCTCCGGGAGGATTGTATTTTCAAAATTTTATAAATTTTGGTTACCGTATACCATAGCAAAATGTTTTTACCACATTGTACATATTATTAGAAAGTAGATCCCCGTGTTTCTTATATCTTTAGCATTATAAATCAATTGTAAAATATATTTTTTCGAATTAAAAAGTTTAAGTTTGGAAGTAGATTTTATTTCTAAAATTTTGTAAATTTTTTTTAACTTTACGTCATTATAAAATGTTAAATATCATCGATCATATAAATAAATATAGATTTCTCCTTCCTGTCGCACTGTCGCATTGTCCATTTTCAAGATGCAAAGAAACTTTGCAAGCAAATTTTATTTTAAATTTTTTAAAAATTTTTGTTGGACTACACGCCATTATAAAAAGTTGAATATATTGTCGACTTAAATCGTAAATATAGATTACTCTTTTTATTGCAGCGTAAAATATTTCTAAAATTATTTTTTACAATAAAACGAAAAAGTTTATAAGTAGATTTGTTATTTTCAAAATTTTGTAAGGATTTCATTATAAAATGTTGTGCATATAGTCGAGATCATTTATAAATAGATCCTTTCCTTCTTTATTTCGAATTATAACGCAATTTCTAAAATTATTTCTCCAAATAAAAAGATAAAGTTTGAAAGTTGATTTTAAATATTTTCAAAATTTTATGAATTTACAAACTTTACAAAGTTATTAAGAGAAGGTTCTGTAAATTCCCAACGCATTTATTTCCATGTATGTATTTTACAACTTTTCTAATAATTATGAAGTCCGGAAAATCCCTGCTATTTTTCATTTCTGAAAATTTATCACGTTTAGAATCTTTCGCTAACTGTACATAAATAATTATGTGAGTGTCTATTTTCGAAATGTGACAATTTTTCGACCTTGTCCACCTTCTTTGTTTACCTTTTCGTGGACGTGGAGGGAGACTAATTGTCTTAACTTTTGCCTTGTTTTCTGCTCGTGTGTACATAAATGTATAAATTAAGGGCTTAATAGGTTTTGACTAATTGACGTGTGTTTTTCTTCGCTACCTGCACTCTGAGATTTTCAGATTGACAAATGAGCATGTCACAGGATTACGACACACACTTCAAACAAGCAACCTTTCAAGTGAGAGGGCTGGTTGGTCCATAGGTGATGCATGGTGGGAACAAAATCAGCAATTTTCAGCTCATTTTAGTTTTAACATGTGGCGCAAATGACAGTTGACACATACTTTATTTTTAACATGTGGCGCAAATGGAGACGTAACCCAGTCTACCATCATTACGCATTATTTAACATATGATTTTCAATATTTGGTGCAAATGAAGGCCGCACATTTACAGTAGGCCCATATTTTATGTTTAACAAGTGGCGCAAATAGGCTGTCAGCTAATCCACCTTCACTATGGCAGTATTTACCATTTTATTCTCAATTTATGGCGCAAATGAAGCCCACACATGTACAGTTAACCCACAATTTATTTTTAACATGTGGCGCAAATGAAGCTATTAAGGCATCAATTATGGATCACGCTCCAAATTAAAACAAAACATGAACTAGAAAAGGTGCTAATTTATCCCGATTTTGTCCCGTGGCGTAGTTTTGGCTACTGTATTTACAAGTCGACCTTTTTCTATCCGTCATCCGTGTCTGTTGATTTTTGTATGTACGTAGCTCAGCAGGAGGCCGGATTAATTGGACATCCCCGAGAGCGAGAGTACTTTCTCATGTCTGTAAATAAAGATTTAGCCACTTCTTGGAAGTAAGGCACACACGAGAAGTAAATCCTTGACATGCATGACACTTGAGGTGAGGTGACCTGTCAAATAATAAAAGCCAATAATTTACTGAATTTACGTAATCTCATAATTTAATTTTGGAAACTATGTACAAGCGCATTTCGCATTTTACAATTTTTTTAAAATTTTTAATAAATAAAAATCGATCATTACAAAATTACGAAATTACGAAATCACGAATTTACGAAATCACACCCAGATGTCAGTTAGCAACTATATTCCACCCAACATAACATAACGCAGTGGCAGGATTATCCAGTAATTAGCCTCCCTTCCTGTCTGTCTGCCTGTTACGATTACTTACTTACCTGCTACATCACCTTCCATTGAGACATATTTTGCCCTCTTTGTCTTAACTATGAAATCCAATCCATCCCACTAACTAACGCACCAAACCAACCAGGATAATATGTCATTGTCCCGTAAGCAAGTAATATTCGTTCGTCACCATCTCGTCTATATTTACGATGGAAAAGTTGCACAAAATCCTGTACCCACCTACACAATTAGCAGAATAAGATCGTCTCCTTCTCAGTTAGTCAATCCACTCACCTGTCGCATAAGTCTATAAAATGGACGAGCAGTTAAAGGTCACTCGACACTTGGTCCCCCCTCACTCACAGAGAAAGAAACTGACCCTCTCTCCTCCATAAATCATAAAAAATCATAAATCTCCACTCCACCCTACGTTACATATTTATTCGAAAAAAAGAACCTAAAACCAGCAGCAGATCTCTCTCTCGACACTAAACGAGACGATAAATCAGCCACTGTATAAAAAAACTGTTGCTTTCCCCACCGAATAAATAAAGCTCAACAAATCTTCCTATCTTCTTGCAAAGGTGTCACGAGGTCAGCATGTCGTCCTCCGATAATCGCCTCCATCATCAACACCACGTTACCACCACACCAGCAAGTTCGCAGTCTCCCAGCGTTATTAAGAACAATCTTTTACCGCCCCCACCACCGGTGGATACGGAATTTTACTGCGATTCGTCCACCCTTCACCATCAATTTGAACCGGTCCCACCACAACCACCGCAAGGTTATCAATGGTCATCTCGTTGTGGTGACCCCATTTTAACGTCGGCGTCGTCGGCGTCGATCAGCTCGATCGTGGCGACCGCCGCGGCCAAGGCGCAGATCGATGTGGGGAATTTTCTCCCAGTTTTTGCCCCAGAAAGTAGTGAAACTGGGGGTGGAGGTGGAGGTCATCATTTGCTGGGGAGTGAGGCGTGGAGATGGCCACCCCCACCGGTATCGGCGGGAGGAGGAGGGTCATCACCCCCGTTGGCAACAGGACCACTACCGCTACTGCACGACCAGGTCAAGTCGTGTCAACAGCAGCAAGCGACATCGTCGTCTAGTACGGGTAAGGAGATTTTGTGTCATTCGTCAAGTTTGAAAAAAGAGAGATGCATTTTTCGGAGTGTTTGAATCTTATGTTTGTGAAGCAGGCATAGTTTTCTTGTTATGTAAAATACACTGTAAAAAATGTGGTGACAAAATTGTCACCGGTTTGGTAAAAATAATTGTCCAAATTTTTGTTAATGTCGGATCAAAATTAGAAAAAAATATTGACAGATTAATCCCACTGTAATTTTATAAACAATTATTTGACAAATTTTCGAGCAAGCATAGTTTTCGTTTTATGTGTATTTACACTGTCAAAAATGTGGTTATAAAATTGTCACCGACTTGGTAGCAGTAATTGTGAAAGAAATTTTGAAAATTTACAAACCAAAAAAATACCAAAAATATTGGCATATTAATCCCGCTCTAACTTTATTTATACCTAATCATTTCTCCAAAATCATTACCAACCCTGGTAGAAATTTTATCCCCACATTTTTTACAGTGTATACATTTCACATCACACTTTACATTCCTTCCTCCCTGACATTTTGACATTTTGACAACTCGGATCCCATTTCGATTATATAAGATTTCCTATTTACATATTTCTTAACTTTTAAAAATCATTTCCAAATTTATTTATTAATTTCTGAATGAATACATTGCATACGAACAGATTTTTAACCCGGCAAGAAAGAAACGTGTTCCTTCTTTTTTTTAAGAAATCTCTTTTTTCCTCCCTGTTTTTCCCGAACCTTTTTCAGCCTCATCAATCAATCAACATGGCACCACTTCGCCTTCCAGTCTCGCAAATATTTCAACCTTGGATGCATATTCGTAGGAAAGAGTGGTGTGGATCTCACTAAATGTCGAAACTCATGTTTTCCTCTCATGTCGCAATAATCTTTTCGCTCTTTATTTTACAAACGGGCTCTGATTTTTCTTCTTGTTACGGCGGTTACCCGGCATTTTTTGAGGAAACGGGGAATTCGGAAGGAGTGATGGATTGATTGAGATGTGAGGGCGAGGGAGATGAAAAAATTGGGCTAAAAATGGATTTTTTTAAAGTAGTGAATTGAATTGAGTTTTTAGATTTTCATAAATGATTTTGGGAGAAATTTGCGAGGTGTTGATGCCGTTAACAAAAATAGGGTGGAGAAGAAAATGAATTTCTGATATTAGATTTGTCTAGAATTTGCGGTATTGACGCCGTTAACAAAGATTAAGGATGTCGAAGAGAGTGGCCCAGATGTTTCCCCGAACCCTGGGCTTTTAGTTGTCAAATATTCAAAAGTTGTTACTTCTATTCTATTTCTATGCAATTATCAAAAATAAGATTTTCATATTCGCTCGGACGTTTGTAATGCAGTAAACTGCGTAAATTTTAGTATTTTGTAAGTATTGCGTTTTTTCTTGCCGGACTTTTTCAGGAGACGGGAAGGAATGATTGATGGATTGATTGAGATGTGAGGGTGAGGGTGAAAAAATTGGGCCAAAAGTGGATTTTTTTTGCATTGTTTGAATTGAATTTTGAGAATTTTTATAAATACGTTTTTGCGAGGTATGGATGCCGTTAAAATAAATAGGATGAAGAAGGAAATGAATTCCAGATATTAGATGTTTCCATTACCAGCTAGTGGTTTATCTGTAAAATATTTCAGAAATTTCTATTTGTATTCAATATTAAGAAATAAGATTTGTCTAATTCGCTCGGATGTTTGCAATTCAGTAAACTGTGTAAATTTTAGAATTTAGTAAGAGTATGATATATACTATTACTCATGCGATTTCTTTTTCTTACTACGATTACTCGGCATTTTTCAGGAAACGGAGAATTCGGAAGGAGTGATGGATTGATTGAAATGTGAGGACACGGGTGAAAAAATTGGGCTAAAATGATTTTTTCTGCAGTAGTGGATTTTTCTTTGAATTGAATTTCAAGATGTTTATAAATAATTTTGCGGTATTGACGCCGTTAACAAAAATTAAGGATGTCGAAGACAATAAATTGTGTCGCAGATGATTCCCCGAACCCAGGTCGTTTAGTTGTCAATATTCAAAAGTTGTTATTTCTATTCTATTTCTATGCAACTTTCAAATATAAGATTTTCGTATTCGCTCGGACGTTTGTAACGCAGTAAACTGCGTAAATTTTAGTATTTTGTAACTATTGCGCTTTTTCGTGCATGCGGCTTGCCGGACTTTTTCAGGAAACGGGAAGGAATCAGTGATGGATTGATTGAGATGTGAGGGTGAGGGTGAAAAAATTGGGCTAAAAATGGATTTTTTAGCATTGTTTGAATTTAATTTTGAAATTTGTATAAATAATTTTTGAGAGATATTGATGCCGTTTAAAAAAATAGGTTGACGAAGAAAATGAATTTCAGATATTAGATTTCTCTTACAAATTGTTCGTTCATCTGTAAAATATTTGCAGTGGGGAATTCTTTGAATTGAATTTTGAGATTTCTATAAATAATTTTTGAGGTATTGATGCCGTTAACAAAAATTGAGGATGCTGAAGACGACGAATTATGAACTAGGTTTTATCCCCAGATTGTGATCGTTTATTGGGAGTAAAATATTCCAAGATTTCTATTCAACTTTTAAAAATTAGAGTTCTATTATTATTCGCTCGGATGTTTGTAATGTAGTAAACTGTGTAAATTATGGGATTTTTGTAAGAAATACGATCTGATTCATGCGTTTTTTTTGTATACCGGCATTTTTTCAACAAAAAAGTTAAAAAAAGAGTGATGGATTGATCGAGATTCAAGATGTGAGGAGGGTGAAAATATTGGGCTAAAATTTGATTTTTTTGTGCAGTGGTTCATTCTTTGAATTAAATTCTGAGATTTTTATAAAGTAAGGTATTCATGCCGTTAAAGAGAATTTAGAATGTCGATAAGACGACAAATGGTGGACTAGATTGTAGTGTCTTGTTGAGGTAGTAGTTTAGCTGTGAAATATTTCAAAATTTCTAAAATAAGGTTTCCCTCATTTGCTCGGATCTTTGTAATGCAGTAAACTACGCAGATTTTTGTAAGAATACGATACTCGAGCTTTTTTCATTGTATGCCGGCATTTTTCAGGAAACTGGAAGGAATGAGTGATAAATTGATTGAGATGCGGGGAAGGTGAAAAAATTGTGCTAAAAATGAATTTTGTTTTTTTTCACTCGTTTAATTTTTGCAAATAATTTTGCGAGGTATTGATCCCAATAAAAATATTTAAGAATGTCGAGAAGACGACGAATTATGGACTAGATGAGTATAAATGATATTCGTTTAGATTTAAAGTATTCAACAGTTTTTATTTCTATTCTAATCTTATTAAACAAGATTTGTGTTATCCGGTCGGATCTTTGTAATGCAGTAAACTTCGTAGATTTTATGGTGCTCTGATGCATACCTTTTTTTCTTTCATTTATGGCACCATTAAAGGAGAATTCGGAATGAATAATGGATTAATTGAAATATGTATGAGGCTAAAATTTGGTTAACAAGGGATTTTTTTTATGTGACAGCAAAAATTTTTAGCATTTTTTCAAGTCGAATTTTAAGTTTTGACATGATTTTGAAAAGTTGCTAATATTTGGTGCCACTAAAAGAATTTATGCAAGTAGAATATAGAGTTAACTTTATTTTACTAGATTGGAATACTTGATTGACGTGTACTTTTTTTTGTACAAAGTTCCTTAATTAAAGGATGTCAAATACCATAAAATGTATACTATAGATTTTTACATATAATTGTGATGATTAGATGATTATAATTATGATTATGGGCCATTCTTTAACGTAGGATTAGGTGACTCATCATCACAGGTCTAAAAATCTGAACACTTTTATGCATTTCTCCGTTCTGGGAATTTATTTTTAAATTCTATCAGATCCATTTGTAGACCAGGTCAGTACCAATTTATTAAAAATATGCACTCCAGAGTTTATCAAGTTTTGAAGGAGGAGACCCAAGATAAGCCCTCCAGTTAAAAGGCCTTCAGAAAAATTGGGTGTCCAAAAAATTGGGTGTCCAAAAAATTGGCTTATGTTTTTTTTTAAAAATCATCGCCATCCTATTAATCAGCTTACTGACTACAACTGGATCAGATAGATTTTCTATTTTCCATTCCATTCCTCTAGAAAACAATTTTGAAATCATGGTGTGGAAAGTAACCTAAACTCCGTTTCACGTTACATGGAGTACATTACCCGAATGAGCCGAATTATTTTATTATTTGTTACCACTTATTCTTATTTTGGCATTTACATTAGTCAATTTCGTATGATTTTTACGCCAAAATAAAAATAAGTGGGACCAAATAATAAAATAATTCGGCTCATTCGGCTAATTTACTCCATGTCTTGTGCCGTGAGATTTTTTGAGACGATGAGTCACCTATCGTCATCTTAAGCCATACAACAGACAGGTTCGTTTTACTGATTCGCACCGATTTTTGCATCTGTGCCTGAATAGTTTTACAAACCTTGACTTAACCTCTCGTATATTACATCCATGTGCAACTTTATGCTACCTATCCTAATTTTACGTGGAGCTATAAAATAAATAGTTTTAATTGTAAACGACGCCAAAATTCGACAAGTTTTCAATTTGTATCCAAATTTTTACTTGATTTTGTACATTTCCAAACTTATGTATCTAACTAAGAAATGTTTTCAAATTTTTGGAGGGTTACAAACATCCTCTTAAAGTTGGCTCATTATGTACAGATTTTCTGAAATTAGTTTTCAAAAAAATCCAAAAATAATTGGATTTTATATACTAAAAAATTATATTTTATCTTTAGACTCGATCCCCACTCACTACTAGTTTCATCTGGTTGCATCACTACTTCCTCCCATTTTCTGAGAAAAATATCCATAATTAAAGGTCCACCACGTCCTCATCCTCCAAATCTCATCTCGTCATCCATCCATCCGCGCACTGAACTGATTAAGTAATCTGTCACCTTCAACTCTCTTTTCCACCCAGAAATGAGAAGGTGGTAACGAAAAACAAACAAACAATTTAGTCAGTCAGCTACTACCTACCTGTTGGGGCTGTGCAGACAGTCTGCCCCGGTAAATTCCCGTCTCAATATCCCCCCGGAAATCAATCCATCCTGCTGCACAGCCCCCAACAGAATTTCTTATCATGCCACCGTCCAGTTAGTTGCATCTTATGACCGACCGGTGCTTCATCTCTTAATGAGATTCATAGAATGTATAATTGCTTATTTATCTGCCCAAGGGTTTCCTTTTTCCAACGAGGAGGAGACTAATTGGTGTATTGCGTGATTTCTCTGAGCATAACATGGTGCGGAAAGGGGCCGTGCGGGAAGCACGTGGTCGTCTTGCTGAGACGAAGTATGACACGTGGTCGGGACCACGTGCTTTACGCGGGGTCCCTTCCCGTCCAATTTTTCCATAAATATGAGAATTTGTCATGTGAGTGAGTTGAGTGTGTCCTTGCTTGGTAAATACGTATGTCCAAAAATAATTGTGGGTTTGGATGTATGACGCAATGCAAGAAATTATGATTTATGAGGGCTCGCCATTATTTCTGAACTTGATTTTGTGTATAAATCTGGTTTTATGTATTTATTCTTGATTTTCTTGCAGAGGGCGGTGACCACCCGACGAAACGTGCCCGGACGGCGTATACATCCGCCCAGTTGGTCGAATTGGAGAAGGAATTTCATTACAATCGGTACCTGTGTCGACCAAGGTAAATAAGGTGATGGCGATGAGTGGGCAGGATTTGGTGGAAGTGGTGCCATGATAGCTTTTATGAAAATTGATGATAAATTTCAGTTATTTCTATCCAATTTAAAAAAAAACAGTCTATTTGGCGAAAATATTTTTGAATTTGATTTTATAAGGAGGCACTTCACGTTAACCTTCGTAACTCCGTAGCCACGTAAACTCACGAAGATCAGCTTACGAACCAAATACATGCTTGTTATCTTCGTAAGGTTTTGTAAGTTCGTAAGAAAAAATTGCCTTCGAGATGTTCCTAAGTTTTGTTAAAAGTTTGTAAGTTTACGGATTACGGATTTACGAAGGTTGACGTGAATTCCCTACAAGTCAATCTGACACCTGCACTATCACACCAAATTTCATAACATGTGTAACTTCAACAAGAAAATTTGGTACTATTTACAGGAGGATCGAAATGGCGTCCCTTCTCTCCTTAACGGAACGACAGATTAAAATCTGGTTTCAAAATAGGCGAATGAAGTATAAAAAGGAGTTGAAGAGTCCGAACTCTTCCTCATCCCAGGGCGGGAAGGGGGACTGTTGCGGTGGTTCAGGATCACCACCACCCCCACTGAAACAAGGATCCCCCTCTTCTCCACCCCATTCAGCCTGCAGTTCCAACACAAATTCGCCACAGAGTGGGTGCCAGCATGCATCCTGCTATAAAAATACAACGACGACCACCACCACTTTGCCACCGAGCCCCCAAAAGAGTGAGGTATCCGGGTATAATTCGCCACGTGACGAGCACGTGGTCGAGGGGTGTGGTGGATTTAACGGGGACGTTGATACCATAGATTTACCACTACCACAACAACCAGGATCCGAATACTGTCCCCCGATTCCATCTTTTCAATCGAGATTTGGCGATTTTTACCATCACCACTACTCCTCCGAGTTTGGAGGGGGTTTTCAAAATTTGCGACAAACTTTGCCCCCACCGCCGACCTATTATCAAACTATGGCGCATACCAATAATATCTACCCGCCTCCGCCCATGTATACTAATAATAATAACAATAATAGTACCGCAAATAAGATGACGACAGATGGAGACACTTGGACTAATTTGGACGGTGCTTCTACTACGTCCGTCCTCCTGGATGGTAGAAATAATGCGTATGATCCGTTTCACTTTGGCAGTGGTGGAACTGCAGATCCTGCTTTTTATGGGGAAAGTGGGGTCGATCTTATTCGACCGATGAGTCATTTATGGGCCCCTTTTAGGTCGGCTAGCTTACTAGAAACTTCCGGGGAAGGTGAGATTGGTGGGCAACCACTCCTCCAAGTCCAACTTCAGCAACATCCCCACCCACACAATAATGCACAACAGTACAGAGATAACAATAATGCGGTGGGAGGAGGAGGGGACCTTGAGGAGGGTGCAACTCTGATAAATTTGTGAAAAATGAAGGGCAGACTGATAATAAATAAATATGTAAATAAACTAAATCGTGTACAAAAAATACCTCACGTGTTTCGTCCACTGCCAAAAATTTGCAAAAAATTGCAACATAATCTTAAAATTTGAATCAAATGATTTTCAATCTAATTTTTAAATGAAATTCAGACTGAAAGAAATAAACCGTGTACAAAAAAGCGTCACGTGTCCTGTTCACTGCCAAAAGTTTACAAAATTTTTGTATAACACTATTGTAAAAATCGATTTTCAATCTAGTTCTTACTGACTGAAAACTTGTATAATTTTTAACAATAATTTTATTACGACATGTTAAATCCAATGTTTAAAAAACTGTGTACAATAATTGTTAAAATAGAAAAAAATACAACCAAAAATTCAATTTTATAACCTAGAAAATTTTACAATTTATTAATTTAATAAATCATAAAATCAAACCTGTACAATTTTCTTTTTTCCTTCACCTGTAATTACTTTTCATCCATTTTTCCCACAGGTACCGAAAATCACCGAATTCTCACACCATCACCACTTTAACCTTTACTTTACTGCGTTTTAAACTTTACTCGACGGACAGAAAAAGTCCAAACTTTCGAAAAACATGCCTCGTTCTCCTCGAGAGACAAAATGTCAAAAATGTGGCAGGCAGGCCGGATTTGGAACTATTTTCAATTAATTCCAACTCTCGTAATTAATGAGGTTTCTCTCTGAGAAGAAGAGAGGAATAGATGAGTATAGGAAGTCGGCCGGCTAGTTCGTACATACTTTTCGTCTTGCTTGTCTGATGGCTCTTTGATCTGATCATTAATCAAAAATGACACGGCCAACGCAACCAAACGTACGTACGTACACAGATAAGTACGTACCCATGCATGTACATGTAGTGAACATATAGCGGTGGCCGTGGCGGCGGATGGATGGATGGACGGACGGACGGGACTGACCAGACCAACCAGGAAAAAAAAGAACAAAAAAGGAAGAAGAAGCAGCTTCCTTCCCCCATCCACTTTTTTCCCACAAAACTTGCACAGATCATGGGAGAGGAGTGGACACTCTAAATAATGGGGTATCGAAATTTAGAAAATTCTGGCCGAATTTAGCCCCAAGTTTTAGCCCAAAAATATTGAGCGCACTCGACTTACTTCGCATCGCAAATCATTTAGCAAATTTATAAAGCCAAAAAAAAATGCGTGAGGGAATTCGCAAAGTGTGATTTCGCAAATCTGGTTTCATTTGTAGAAAGCATCTTTTTTGATGTCAGTTCATTGAATTTTTGCAAATTCTTTTCATTGTGATTGTGAGGATGAGTTTTCGAAATAATTTTACGAGATAAAGACATGCCCCTTTGCGGGGTAAATTTGGGAAAAAATCCTACAGTTTTCCAGCAAAAGGTTTGCGAAATCTCGCAAATTTCGCTAAACTTTGCTTTTAACATGTCCAGTTTTCAAAATGCGAAGGTTGACGTGAGTGTATTCTAATGAGTATGCTCACTAAATCTAAGCCAAATTTAATTCCAAAATTTACAAATTCTAAATTATGCCCCAAATTAATTTGACATTTTTCTCACAATTACATATTTATTATCCCCCGTAATCACAAATCGTTACCATCCCCCAATTTTGTTACCACATTCCTTACAGTGCACTCCGTTTCATCTCTCCACCATCAAAATGCATCTCTCTCTCCACCGACAACAAAACAGACAAGACATCACCACATCACTCCACTCGCTGGATCCAATGGAGAAGGAAAATCATTATTATTTCCACTAAAATCTGGGCAAACGGGTGAAAATAAAATCCCCGATTTTTTTTCCTTGTCTTCTTCCTTCTTTCCTCCACTCAGGGAATTAAAATCGGGGAAAATCCGAAAAAGTTTCACCACAAGCAATGCAACGCACTTCACTTCGGCTCTCGGAACATTATCAGGCTTTCAAGAGCCATTTGCTCCCATTTTAAAAAAGACTTTTCCACAGAATGGAGAAAGTGAGGAGGAGGAGGAGAGGATTCTAATTTTTTGATAAGAACCAAAAAATGGGCATCAATCCAATTTAGTTAAAAGTCAACTTTCACTCGGTTGAACATTTCTGCTTTCTCTTTCTTTCTTTCACTCTCTCTAACCGCGAATAGAGTGGAGTGAGTGGATATTCTTTAAAAAGGTATTACTTACTGGGAGATGACGACTACTTACTACTTTTCCCATCGGTTTACTTACTACGACTAGATCTGCATTGACTATTGACTTTTGTGGGTGGGTGGTGGCCAGGGTGTCGTTTTTTTTGGGGAGAAGGAAATTAGATTACTTGGTACATTAGTTGGTATTTATTTATCTATCTATCATAATATTAGAGTAGTGGTAGGAGAAAGTGTGAAAAATTCCAAGGGTAAAAAAGGCCTGCCATGAATACGTACGCAATTTTGACTATTTTATAGTTATTTTGCAAGTAAACTTTCTCCATTTTATTTATGGATGGGGGACTCGAAAATGGGGCGCAATGAGGTTTATTTTGTTAACGAGAATGGTTAAAATTTCTGAAAACTGTGTTTCATCAAAATTTTTTAAACTATGTTTTATTTCATGAGATTCGAATTTTTTTTTACAATTTTATAATGTAAAATGTAATGGAAATGCGACCAATACGAAATTATACGAGCTATGACATACTTATATACGTTCGTTAGATGGTTGTGTCACTAAGGAGGATGGTTGTGGGGTAGTTCCCCAGCTTAACGTGGCATTGTATCACGTGTTTTTTGTTTGAATTGTTGTGTCTCAACTTTCCCTTCCTCCATGTATTCAAATGGCGATTTTGAAAAATGTTCACCGCCTTTCGTTTTTAACAATATGAAGATATTAATGCACCTAAAAATCGGTAATTTTTAGGCTTACATAGTTAGGAGATAAAAATTTTGATTTTTTTCTTCAATGAGGAAATATTTAAATTTTATTGATTATTAGCTCGCCCTGCGTAGCACGAGAGCTATTGAATTCCTCTTGTCCGTCCGTCCGTCTGTCTGTGTGTTCACGAGTTTTTTGCATCAATTGATGCTAATTAATAATCCCCTTGACCATTATAGAATAAATTAGGCGCACCGTTGGTATCTGACAATCGGAAACACCAAATGATGCGAAAGAATTGGGGGCTTTGATGCATAACGCACGAATAGTGCATACTACTCGGCGGATTTTATTTGACAATTCTGACATAAATTTTTCAAAATTATCGGTGATCGTTGGTAGGTAATTCTGCACCAGTGATGCACAATTTTTGGACTTTCCTCGATGCATAATAATTATTGATCTATGTTGTTTAATATTTCTGCACCATTGGTGCAATGTTGCATAAACATTATTGCTCTACTTTGTTGGATTTTTCTGCACCATTGGTGCATTATTGCCAAAAAACTAATGTGTCTATTTTGTTGCATTTTTGTGCACCTTTGGGGCAAGTTACAACCAAATCATTATTACAGGGTGAGCTACTTCTAACGTTACTACAGTTTGCCCCATTTCTTCTGTACCATTAGTGCAATTATATATGAATAGCATGGTTCTATTTTATCCGATTTTTCTGTACCATTGGTGATCGTCAAACGTACTTTTCACTTCAAATTACTTGCATGGTTTTACACAACACCAACTGGGTTTCGGCTCTCTATAAGCCCAAGACAGGTCGCTACTCCCGTTCATCAGGTAACCAGCCAGGTTACGACCCAGTGCGATTTCTATTTATGAACCCATGACATCTTACATCGCATCTGGGCCCTGGTAATGTCAACATTACCAGACCATTTGAAATGATAATTTTATTTCTATTTATGAACCCCCTTACCACTCGCCATTAGATGCCACTACCTGTCCCAGTCAGTATCTCATTTGGGAAATAATTTCCTTGTACTTAACTCCGACCAGGAGTGCACTCAAATGAGACACTATTAATGACTTGGGACACCCTAATCTCGATGACTTCATTGCAAAAATGCAATAAAATACACCTACCTTTTTTAAACGAACTTGGGTAACTTTGAATCTTGATGTATCGTTTGAATCTGAAAAAATCAATTAGTGAACCAATCAAATAACTTGGATATTCCGATTGAACCAAAAAGATGAAGATCTGAAAATTGAATAAACTTAGATTAAATACATATATGACCCTAAAATTATATAAGGGCTGGTAGTGGCATACAGGGAGAGGTAATGCAAATAATTTTATTGTCGTTTTCAGTGATTATGACAATGATGCATATTTTTATGAGCTAGTTCTGGTAATGTGTATTCCAACATTATCAGGGCAGCGTGATGATGGTAGAATGCCATGTATGAATCAAGTTTTGTTTACCATTTTTGTGACCTTTCGTGAAGCTAGTTTTGGTTAGTATCATTGTATGAGCCATGTGCCCTGGTAATGTGTATTTCAACATTATCAGGACAGCTTGATGATTGTATGCACTGTATGAATCAAGGTTTATAAGAGATGCATATTAACTACGTGTTATGACAATGGTGACTTTACGAGAGGTTAGATAGTTTTGAAGGTGGAATTATGTAGATTTGTATAAGAAAATATAGCTATCGCCAACGCAGTCCGTCGAAACATAAACATTGTTATCATCATAGATTATCCAATCATTTTCACGTCTATAATTAACAACATAATGTCCTGAGTTTAAGGAATTGCCCAAATGACTAACTATAAGTGTCAAAGCGTATACATTATCCGAGCCAGGTAACGTAAGAACATCTGATGCATACGACTTCTCCGTAATTTTTGTACCTTGATTTGTAAAAATTTTCAGATTAACCACTAACGTTCTTGGCGCCAATATCAGGTTAGATTTGAAATTAACCAATCCTGAGAACTTACAGTTCTCACAGAGATATTCCTGCTGCCCGGTGAAATGATTATTAACGCACTCTTGTAAATTTTGCGTTGACCTTCCGATGGATAGGGAAGTACACGATTCATTTCTCGTTCCTTTACTTTTACAAGTGCACGTAACCTCAGTTTCTATAGTGGAAATATATTCCTCTAGAGATAAACCAGAGTTGCGTAAGTTCTGCAGGAGGTCAAGGAGAAATAGATGGGGGTCATCTTGCATTCCAATTGAGTATGATGGCATGCATTCAACTAACTCCAGCCTGGTGCTTCTAAGGTGGCTAAGTGAAACTGGGGTGACTAATGCGTGAAAGAATCCTATTAGACAACGAGATAGACGATCTTCATTACATTTCAGAAATGCTTGAATGGAAGGAGATTCATAGATTACGTGAAGAATTGTGCTAATGTAGCATGTATTTCCTAAATTTGGAATTCCGAGATGAATTGAAGGGGTTGGTTCGGAAATTACAATGTCTACAGATAAAGCTTCGTTCTCTATGTCCATTTCCGACTCCTCGGGTTCGTCGCCTATGTCATTTTCGCTTACATCTACCTCCATTAATTCGGTGTGGCAATCTTCTAATTCCACATGTGAAGGCAATATATCTACATCATTTGGCCAAGTCACACAAATTGGTTTATGATAGCTAAAATAGCTTTCGTAGAACCAAGCTGAAACGCCATTCACATTAGAAAGACATGCATCTATCGATGTATTCCCATCCGTACTACTTTCTAAAGGAGTTATTAATCTGAAACCCATTGAAGAAAAAATCTGCCTCATTTGACATCCATCTTGGGTTAGAAAATTCAGGTTGAAGTCGCCGAAAACAATCATTGGAGAGCCTTTTGTGCTAGTTAAAAGATTTCTGATGTCCTGTAGAAAACTCATCGTCCTATATTGAGGACTACGGTATAACATGCAAATTCTTACACCGTTTTGAATCCATCGAACTATTTGCAAATGTTTAGTGACACTTAAATTTCGATGTGAGTATTGAAAATCTGATATGCTCGCAGAGAATGAGTCACTTCTAAACACCAGTGTTCCAATAGATGACTGCATAGACGGTGAATCTATTCGATGCAAAAGTGTAAATCCAGGCAGTTCTACCATATCTGAAATCAATGTCCGAGTTTCACAAAAGCATTGCATATCAGCTTCCATGTAGTTTCTATCAGCAACAATATCGTCATAGTGTGCTCGGAAAGACTGAATGTTGTGGAATACGAGTTTATTGGGATCATCTAGGTCTGGTAAATATCTGAGTGAATATGGGAATGATAATTTTCGCAACCTGGAAAGCTCTAATGCTACAGGATGCCTTAAAGTATCGATTGCACGTGGAGCATTGAAAGTACCGCCAATAAATAATCCTGATAACGAAGGTGCCCGACTCATAGCTACATATATCGCATCCCTTCTCAATCCTCGAGTTGGAATATTGGCAACTGTGTTTGGGATAGACAGACTCTGCGATTTATGGATGGAAATAGCATTAGCAGCAACCAGGGGAATTTGACGGCGAACAATTTGCATTCCTTCATAGTGCCCAAAACTATTTAATGCCTTGGTTTCCGAGAAGATCGGGGTCCAATGCAGCGGAATTTCTAATTGTTTGAGTAATCCTAAGTTATTTGCCCTTGCCAGTTGTCCTACCAATTTCTCCGAGAATTCCATAAATACAATCTTAACAGCTTTCTGCCCGTTAGTTAATGGCTTTTCAATTACCCTCATTAATTTTCCTGTAGCACCATTAAACAATCCATCAGATACGTCAATATTTGTTGTAATCATATAACGAAGGCCGACTCTCAAAGCTACGTGGTATGGCATTCCTCCGGTTTGCTGCAAACTTAAATATTCGGCGGACTCCAACATTGCTTGTTGGGAGGCTAGAATCTTTCCACCCTGCACTCTATCTATGGCATATGAATTCTACAATGGCCCCTTTGCTCGATTTATCGCTTCGCGATTAAATTTATCGCAATCTGCGTTGCTGTAAAACAACCATGTTGCATCATCTGGAACAATTAAGTTTTTTCCAATTTCTCTACTCTTGAACATTTGGATATCTTCTTCTTCAAGCATTCCCATGGACAGTCTATTTAGTGCAGTTGCAAACTTGGCGTCATCTTTTTGCCTCATTCTATTCCAGAGTGGATTTCCAATGATCGGGCCTAAAATTTCTTTGCTATCCTCGAAAACAAATTGTCCAAACACCGGACTAAGCTGATAGAAATCACCTACGACCAAGAGGCTAACCCCTCCGAATAATTCATCGACGCCTAAAATTTGTCTCAATCTTTGATCAATTTGGGTGAACATTTTCAAGCTAACTAACGAAATCTCATCGATTATCAAAACTTTTAAAGCCTCAAACTTACATCGCAAGGTATTGCATGAACCATGATCCAGTGGAGTCATTTTTCCTGCGTATTGATTGGGTGGGAGTCTAAATGCCGAGTGCAATGTCATACCAAAAACGTTAAATGCAGCTTTCCCTGTTGCTGCTGCTACTAGCACAGGAATTGCTTCAACTGAACTATTGCAGTAATTAATCTACTCTTTCCTACACCGGCCTGCCCATGAATTACGTGGAAATTTTGTCCCGATCTTGCTTTCAAATTATGCAAAAGGTTCAATAAATATCTTCTTTGAGATTCGTTCAAAGTCTTCATTAACTTGAGGTAATCGTCTGTTGGTATCAACTTAGGAGGTCGAATAGACATAAACTTTGAAGTTGAGTCCCCTAACTCAACAGCAAAATCTTGGTCTTCGGCAATGAACTCGATTGGAGTATGGTCGACCAAAGCATTGTCAAAAGTTTCCTCATCTCCCTGTGCCATACTGAGTCCTACCTCTAGCTCAGTTTCAAGAAAACATGGATCATATAATTGTCGTTTTTGTGTAATTTGATCTAAGAAGTTTTGATAAACTGAAACATGATCAATATCAAGAAGATCTGTGTTTTCATCCCGCCATGGTACATACAGCATAATTTGTTCTCTATAAAAATTCTCAGGATCTTGATGGAGACCGAATCTGCGATATCGGATAATTCGAGAAGTTGTTCTCTCAGTTATGTACCCACTATTGTCAGTCAGACTTAATGAGGTGATCGGTTGATTAATTTGCTTCCGCAGAGAAGAGGATACTTTGGTAAAGTTATAGTTTGCAACGTAATCAGCTAAACAAAGATTATCCAATGCCCTTGGCCTCACTACACAACGTTCTAAAATTCCTTTGAGAGCTATGTCGCATGAATCTGGATCCATTTTCTCAAGTTCGTCGGCAGGCTTAACGAAAATTACCCTGTCGTCAGGTCTATTCGTATTGATAAATGTTACGTCACGCGAACTTTGTGTCATAGGAATTTTTAATAAACAGCAAGCGGCCTCTTGAGCTGATACCTCTGAGGATTTCGCAAAAGCATTGGCAATGAGCTTAAGCGTTCTTTCAAACTAAAATTACCGTCCCTAATTTCCTTGCTAACCTGTCGTAAAAGTTTCGATACGCCTCGATCTGACTTGCTTATGTAATTCACAACATAACTGGCACAAGAATAGGGATCCAAAACAAATTGAATGTCAATGCTTGCTCGCCAGCATAAAAGAAGCTTCTTATTATATGCATTTATGTAAATTTCATGGGTTCCACGTCGAAGAAAAACTTTGGGAATTTTGAGGTTGGAACGAATTGAGAAAATATAATTTTCTTCAGTAAGATCCAGATCTTCAAGAAACCTATCAAAGTTAATTTCTTCTTCATGTCGCCCAAATGTGGCAAGCTTTTCTTTAATCTTGGCAAATTGTTCTTTATATTGCTTCACTTGGTTCGCAGGTAACGGAAGTAGTATTCTTGTCGTCCTCATAGGTGCAATTGGAAAACCGAACCTACATCCTCGTCGTTTGTCTTCGCAAGTATGTGAATGGTTGTGGATTTGGTATGCCAGGACTTCCTTCATGTCATCGGATTCATCTTTCTTGCAGGTTATGAATTCATCTATGAATTCACAACAAGCTTGGTGAGTTAGCGAATTTTCTTTGTCAAACGTCGGAGCATCCTTAATCCAATCCATTCTATGTGTCTGAATTGACCCGCGTTGTTGAACTTCTTTCCTTTTAAAGAAGTCCTGGTGTACATAAGGATGAAAGATTCCACCCACTGGCTTGATCAAAAATCTGTCCATTGCCTTCTCCCGTCTGTCGTAAGCCATTACACATCCTATCGGGTCATGTCTTATGAGATCCGCTTTAGCATCGAACTTCATATTAGAAACTTCTTCATTAGTTAACACGGTCCCATACTTCCTATTATGGAGCATGGAGATCAACTCGGGCCATTTCGTCTCTGCAGCTGATGTTGTAATGAAAAATGTTGGGAGTCCAAGTTGACGAATCATGGCCATTACGTCCTTCTTCTTCTCTTCCAAATATGACGGTGAGTTGACAATGTTTGACAAAAGCCGATACCCGTCATCGTGTTGAATTAAGCTCTGGACACATTGCTTGTTAAGTAGGTTTCCAACAGTCACGATCCCACGCTTTTTCTTTTTTCGAAGACATATGTTTATGTTACTAGCGATCCTATGAGTTTGAACGAGACGGTAGCTATATAAGATCTTGTCTGCTCGTCTGCAGCGTGGATCAAATCTGCGTAGTTCGGACTTTGCAATATCACTATATGACAAGTTAGCTTCTGGATTCAGTTTTCGTTTGATGCCGCAGTAAATGGATGGAAAAGATAACTCTTCGGCGTCGAGATCCATAAGTAAAGACAACGGGCGCATTCCTTCCCCAGGTGCCACTGCCATGATTAGTTGATCTTCTTGCATTAGAATTTCCATTAACGGTGGATCATTGTCTTCAGTTTCGGCTGTGTCACTGATAGATAAGTCTTTAATATTTTCTATGTCTGTATAACTTTGAGTAGCATCGCTTGGGTTTACTATATATTCTACTGTGTCTGTTGAAACACTATTAGCCCAGTCTGAGGATAGAAATACCTTTTCCTTTTTATACAATTCGGTACGTACTAAATAATTTGCTGCATGGAAAACTTTGTATGGTCGAATTGTTTGGAACATGTATGGATGTTTATAAGTCATGCGGCGCTTCAATTGAACCTGTACTGTACTCGTCTCATCAAATCGGCGGGGAATAACTTTGGCGACTATGTCCATGTCGTTTGGAACGTTTACTACTCCCCCTCGGATTCCGTACTGACGGTCGCTCCCTAACGATCTAATCTGAGCAAACGGTAGCCTCAATGCAACCAAACGTTCCTCTAAGCTAGTCATGCTCTGTAATTGATGTGGAAAATACAGTCCGTTTGACATACACAACCTGGGCACGTCACCACTCTTCAGCGAATCGTGACATGTGCCACATAAGAAGTACTTGCCATCCACTTTTAGATGGGCGAAAGGTTTCTTGGGATGAAGTTTCCTCACGACTTCCATTGTTGTCGGATGCATAGATGATCGATACCAAAGACCTCCACACGAACCACATATCCATTTAGGTTGATCAAGTATCTCACAATGGAAAGATTTACACAAAATATCAAAATTGGTCTGAGCCTTATGACGTGAAATTGCTTTTTTAATTGTGTTTTGCTGCTGTTCGGCCTGTTTGAAAGTTTCGTCTTCTCGGCGGGTAGCATGTTCCATCCGATTCCGCTCATTTTCCGCGTCGCGATAATCCTCGTTTCCTCGGCGGGTAGCATGTTCCATCCTATTCCGCTCATTTTGCGCATCGCGATAAGCCTCGTCCGCTCGACGGGTAGAGTGGTCAATCCTGTCCCGCTCTTTTTCCGCTTCACGGTAGATGGAATCCTTTCTGCGCTCGGCTCGTCCCGCTGCATCTCTTTGTTGCTCTTGCTGTCTTAGGTTTTCATCCATCCTTTGTAATTTTTGCGCAACTGCATTTTTCGCGGCTTCTGTTCTCCGGAACTCTTCGTGTTCTCTTTTTCTCCGCATTCTTTCTTTTGCACTAATTTTTTTGCGAGGCATTATGACACTAACAGTTACGTACCTCTCACACCGCTCGATAAGTCACAGCCGTCGATACGTCACACCACCCGATTCGTTACACCGCCTGATGTATCTCTCCGACTTGATAAGCTCTCCTCTGGATAAGTTGCTCTCCCTGTGGATAAGTTGCTCTCCCTCTGGATAAGTTGCTCTCCCTCTTGATAACTTGCTCTTCCTCTTGATAAGTTGCTCTCCCTCTTGATAAGTTGCTCTTCTTCTCGAGTAAATAATTGGGTATGCAATTCAAAAAAACAGCGACCAAGAATTTTTAATAATTCTGCATTATTAAAAATACGGATGTTTTCTAATTCACAGAGTTTTCTATTGTTTCTATGTCTGATTTGCCGGACCATAGCTACAAAAATTTAAATTAAATGATGCATTTCTAGAATGTATTTCCTAATATCCATTTTTATACACAAGTCTATAAAAATTAGAGCCATGATTATGTCAAAATTGTGTACCGATTCCACCCACTTAAGTATAACAGGGCGAGCTTCTTCTACGGCTACAACGGTTTATTTTTCATCTATTTTATATTTATCTTCTTGTTGAAGAAAAAAATCAAAATTTTTATCTCCTAACTATGTAAGCCTAAAAATTACCGATTTTTAGGTGCATTAATATCTTCATATTGTTAAAAACGAAAGGCGGTGAACATTTTTCAAAATCGCCATTTGAATACATGGAGGAAGGGAAAGTTGAGACACAACAATTCAAACAAAAAACCCCGCATCAGCCAGCATGCTATTCCGCCTTAATCAAAATTTCTTAAACAACGATAAATGCAAGAAATGAATCATTTCGTGCATTTCTTACATTCATTTCTTGCATTTCTTGCATGCATATTTTGCATTTCTTGCATACATATTTTTTTCGGCAAACACTGCCCCCGATCGAAAAGAAAGCAGAGAAAGCACCAGCCACACACCGATTTCCTTTCTCTCCAACTCACCCACCACCCACCCGACCACGACCACGCGGAGCTAACTAACCTAACCAAATTTTTGTCTGGGTAGAAGAAGAAGAAAGACCGAACCGAATTTTGAGAGAGTAGTGAAATGGGAAAAATCCTCTCAAATGGAAATCTAATGATTAACACAAGTGGGCAAAGAAGCAAGATAAGTAAACAACTGCCAAGTCGACGTTCTTCTATCCTATTTTCCATTCCATAAATGGGTGCAGGAGGAGGAGGAGGACGACGACCGAGTCAAATAATCAACGTAACGTAACGTACATATCCTTAGCTTTTCGCTTGACTTGAGTTTGAGGCAAATACACAATGTGAGACGACACACACACATACACACGCAGATTTAGCTGGGTAAATAGATAGGCAACCTTACCAGAGAGGAGAGAAGTATGAGGATAAAGAGACAACATTTTATTACAAGGACGAACAAGAGACAACAAAGTTTAGAGTGGGGGAGAGTGCATAGTTTTCGAAAATTTTAAAGGATTTGGTACCAATTTGGTCGCGTTTGTTTTACCAATTTTGGTCATGTTTTGCGTCAGTTTTTAGGCATGTTTTGTTACTCGTTGAGATAGAATTTTGTTATGGGAAATTTAGTATGATTTGCTTCCAAGTTTTTATCAATTTTACCATATTTTCTTTTGTCGCCGTTACCAATTTTGGTAATGTTTTACTCCAGTTTTAATCAAATTTTTGTTACTCATGTAGTCAGATTTGTTACCATTTGCTTCAAAATTTAGCAAAGCTACCAATTTTATTATGTTCTGTTATCAATTTTCTATAAATTTTATCATGTTTTGTTACCAATTTATTTGCCATTTATTACAAATTTGGTCATATTTTGCTATACCTATTTTGCTTCGAATTTGGTAGAAGATTACCATTCTATTTTACCAATTTGGACTTTACAATTGTCAAAAAACTCTGGTCAAATCAAACTTTCAAGTTTTAAAATTTTGAAAATTTGACCACATTTTTGCCAGTTTATATAACCCTCATTCTTACCAAACTAATTGGTAAACAACAAAATTGGGCAAAAAATTTCACCACATTCCTCATGATAGATCCACCCCACCAAGTAAACTAGGCAGCACTACCCTGATTCGATATCGTGATATGTACGAAGCAGGCGATGAGTTTGGGAGGAAGTGTGGCGGCCCGTTATCAGGTAGTGAGTCGAGTTCCGGTCGCTCCATCAATATGTAAATTCAAACCAATCAGGGATGCAAATTCATGCAAAGAATTTAATTTCCCCTCGATGAGAGAGCAGAGACCCGCATTTTTCCACCCACCACGATTGACTTTCTCTCCAAAACTAAACCCACTCTCCCACCGAGGACCCAGAGAAATAGATAACAATTTCGATAAATTTGATTGGAAGTGTGTGAAATAGAGAACCAAACGTCTAATCTCCGCAGTGAATTGGTTATAGAGATCACTTCCGCTACTCCGAGGCCCCCTCATTCACCAACGAAATGAACTACATACATATTCCAGATAATTTCGTGCACATGATTTCTCGGAATTAATGAAAAAAATTGGAAACGTATTCATAAAAGTTAGAATTCTAATAAATAATTTATAATTTTCACATCTCAAAGTTTAAAATGTTCACATCTCAAATTTTATAAATTTCCTGACGGTCATTAAGTTTAGCAAATTGTATGAAACAAATTTTCATTTTTACTCTGTAAAATTTAAGGCTTTGAAAGGTCAGGGTCTCTTAATTACATATAATAGGTTTTTAAAAAAATGGGTGAAATGCATACCCCCAAAATATATGAGTTACTCAATTTCATATGAAAGTATGCGCAAAAAAATGCACAAAATTATCACATTGTTCTACCCTTTAATTTGAATGCTTTTAAAAAATCTGCTTCATGTTGTGATTTGATGCCAGTTGAGAATTTTAGGAGAATCATAAGTTAAAATGAGTTTACAGATAGATTTTTATTAATTAATTATGGGATGAACGTATGAAAAAGTTTATAAATCCATATTGTTTTATTTCTGAGCTTTTTTTTTCTTAAGTAACCCAACTTTTTAGTAAATTGAGTGTGTAATAATTTGCATATTATTTACTTATTAGTTTTAATTACTAGCAATTAATTTAGCATCTATCTAAAAATGGTCGATTACAGGTGCTCATAATCATTTCGAAAAAAAAATTGTCAAATGGTGCTATTGCACTTAAAGTTCTTCTTCATAAAAAAACTACGATTTAATCATTCCAAAAATTATAGCATTAAATTGCGCACACACATACATGTAAGTTAATTACCTAATTTACTAATAATAAATAAATTATCGCTAAACATTCTAGCCTAAATTGCACGCCGATTTGTAAAACATGCATAATTGAATATTGCTTAAACAATTTAGATAATGGGTAGCCCGTCTTTGCATTTTTTTGGGAGTATTCATAGTATAAAAATACAATTATTTAGCATAAACAATGAATTGTGTGAATTGGTATTAAAAATTCGTGCATATAAAATTAGAGAAAATGCATACCCTTCATTTCACCCATATTTAAAACACCAAAAACATTTCTTCAAAAATATATACACAATTTTTACATCTCATCCACAAATTTCATAGTAAATGAAACTGCATCCAATGCAATACTACAAAAAAAAATATTTTTTTACCAAGAAAACCTCCACCAAACAAAATACCGTTACTTATTTTAAAGCGTATCAAATCGTAATAAATTTACACCGACAGGTCGCCCGTAAAAAAGTGAGCTTTATTATTACCATTACCAAGATATGTAGGATGATGCATGACCGTGACAATTTATTGAAATCATTGCCCCACCACCACCACATACTTATTCATCCTAAACTCAAGGCGGAAATAAGTAGGGGGATGGATGAATATGTGGAAGAAATCCTATTTTTGGGTGGCTCTTCCTTCATTTTAATGAAATGAGGAATAAATGTGGAAATTGATTGCGGAGGTGGAAACCGAAAGATAGAGAATTATCGAGTCGATCCACTCCATAAACTCAATTCTAATGAGTAATGAGCACAAAAAAATAATAAGAATTTCTCAGAAATATTCAACTCCGAAATTATTAAAGGGTTGGAATTTTACTCATTTTGGAGGTAGGTAACTCTAAATAATGCTGGGGTAGAAGTAAAATTATTTTTAACAAGGAAATTCAAGTTTGATAAAAATTTGAATAATTTTAGTCATTTCTAAATAGGTACGTACGTCTAAATAATGCGCTAAAAAGACTAACTGTCAATGGGACAATAATTCTTTGCTTGAATTCAAATTTGTTTTTGTCAAAATTTGAATTTTAATGCGTTAATCAAATTTTTCCCGAGGTTGGCTATGTACAAATTTTGTCCCAGTATTTCTCTGCAGTTTCGTTCGTAACGATTTTTCACAATATTTGTGGCACGAAATTCAAATTTTCCATTATAAACATTACGTACTAGGGGCGAATTTTTGAATTATACTCATTTCCTCCCCTAAATAATACCGTAATAAATTTGCCACCACTTCAATTTTGCCCTCAAAATTCAAACTTTCCCTATTCAAAACTTTCCTTTCATTCTCCCCGAAACATATCCGTTCTAATTCTGTCCCCATATTTTTCAGCGTGTAAAATAGTTTGGAAACTAATTCAATCCGGAGTAGGTTGACTTGACGAGTGACGAAACTGGGAGTAAAACTGGTTAGTGGAAATTCCCTCCCCGAGAGAGAAGAGAGACCTGTCTGTCTGTCAGGCCGGATTTTCTGTCAAATTTCCCCACAATTTCTCCATTTCTGTTTCACGAGGAGACAGGAAGTGAGGACTAAAAGTGCTACAACGGCTCAAGCAGATGAGACGGCCGGACTAAATGCGAGTAGATGAGATGAGAGGATGAGATGGCAGCCAAGCACCAAACTAAACAAACGGATGGATGGAGAGATGATGAGATGAAGTGACACTCATCGAAATGTCTAATCCTCCCAACTA